CTTGGCTGAAATCTTTCCAAACCATCCAGTTGAACCAAAAAAGATAACACTCCTACTCAAATATCCTTTCCTTACATAAAGACACTATTTTGTGGAGCATACCATGTTCTCAGCAGACTAAACCAAAAGCTCCCAGCCAAGTTGTAACAAAGATGCTTTTTTCTGGTAAGTTGTTTTTTTTTTTGGTGATATCTTTTATTGCACCTACTGTGTATTTAGGAGAGCTGCGAAGCAAGCTTTCAGGCACCAGTTGCCCTTCTTCAGATCTGGGAAAGAAGCAGATGCAGCTTGAACTAAAGAACAGATAAAACCATAGCATGTGTAACTCCGTATGTGCCAACAAAGTCAGTTTAAAGGAAAGGAGGACTGTAAAGAAAGAGCAAAGAGGTCTTATTAGGAGTGGCTATAAAACAAAAGAGGTGCAGCAGAAGAAATAACCTAAGTAATGGAAGAGCAAAGCCATTAAATAGTTGTTACTACCTGTGGAGTGTAGGGAGAAATTAGCAGAGATGGCAGGTTCAGACTGTAATGAGCCATAAAGTCAATGTCTGTGTTTAGTCCCAGGGCAGACAAGGTTCTTTGGGTAGCTGTGATATCCTTTATTAGACCAATTAAATACTTGGAAAAATTGTTCTTTGCAAGCTTTCGGGCACAAATGCCCTTCTTCAGGGATAGGGAAAGTTTATCAGTGTCTGTGCGCTCTCCTAGGTAGCATAGAAGCCAATTTTTGTTCACAAACAAAATCTAGGTTTGTGAACACGCAAATGTGTGGCAGTGAGGTTCAAAGGGAATAGGAGAGGTAGTGTGAGAAGGTAGTTGGGGGGGAGGGGGGAGGAAGGGGAGAGGGGCAGAAGAGAAGGGGAAAGGTCCCTGGTTTTTAGTTTCCAGTAAGGTTATAAATCTTCCCAAGCTCTCTCCTGAAAGTGTTTTGTAATTTGACTGGAGTACAAGGGCTGTGAGGTCATAAAGGAAGTGGTTGTTTTGTGAAAAATGTTCTCCTGCTGTTGGACGAGTGGGTGGGGATGCACGTGTGCACACCTGCTTATCCATCTATCCCCATTGGTGAGTGTCATTCCGTGTTATTTCTGAGCTGTCACGTGTTGGGAGCTCAGCTCTTGCTGCCAAGCCTGTATGGTTCTAAAAGGCTAAGGGCCAGGTGCATGAAGGCAAATGGGAACAAATGGTTCAAGAACTGCAAAGGACCTAACACAACAACATGTTAAGTAAACTTCACCACCATGTTTGCAGACCAGGTCCCATAGCAAGCCAGTGATCAATTTTTTGAGACCTGTAATGTTTCATTCTGGACAAGCATGGAGCTGCTATCTTTAAGGTAAAAGAGTGAATGTATGTTGATATTGTAAGCTATTTCTGTATGCAGATGCAGATCCATGCCCTTGCTTCCCATCACTCACTCACTCAGCCCTTTCCTTATGTTGAAGTGGGTACAGCCTGAACTTGGAGAATCCTGCTCCTCTTCTGGGTTTATACCAGGGATAAGCTGCAGCCCATTTTGCAATGTGACTGTAGCAAAGCCTCCAGTAACAATGCTCAGATACAGACATTTTTCCACTAGCATTCCCACAATTCCAGGCACTTGCTTTCCTAGAAATGGCTGGCCCATCAGCACACTTACATCTTGCTCTCTAGTGCATAAAAGCTGTTTAGCACTTGAGGTTGCCCAGAACATGGCTTACCCCTGCTTTATCAAGTAAAGGATGTATTTCCAACAGTCAGGTAGCTGGCCAGAGGAGCAGAGCCAAATCCCAGTGAATACATGGAGGGAACTACAGCATTAGCCACTCTGCTACAGTACCACCTGATCACTCCCCAAAATGTCAGTCCAGAAAAACAGTACCAGAGCTCAGGACCCCACTTCCCACTTCCATTCTTTAACAGGTAGATCAGTCTGTATCAGACACCACTTGGGGTAAGTGAATTGTTGAAATTGTGTACATTTCTGCACAAAAAAGTACACCCCATTTCTTCAACCTAATCCTCATTTGTGCTATATCAGTTGATATTATCTTGTAAGCCTTTGGGGTAATCTTTTTGGGTTTGTAAGGCACAAGATGGTATAAGCTGTATTATGGCTCATCCATAAGTCAAACTGTTAAAAGAGCCATGTATGTGTTTGAAGTCTTTACACCAAGCCTGCTAACAGAGACATCCCTGATTTGTGGCTAGGAATGATCCAGTGTCAGTCATAAATTGCTGAATTGATGTAGAAAAAAATAAATATACGTGGAAGTTTAATTCTGAACACATGTAGCCACAGAACCCACAACCAACCTGAAACTAAATTTGTTCCTTTCCATACTCTCAAAACCTGTCTCTGGCGTATTTATACTTAGCATTCAATAACTCACAATGCATGTTCCAAGCACTTCACAGACACTGAGCTCTGGAGAAAGAGCAAGATGTAGAACAATTATTTAAATGTAAACTAACCCGACAAAACTGAAATAATCCATAAACATAAAAATATACCTATCTGACTAGGGACTGGACTGCTTTAACCCAAGGCACTTCTGGGCAAAGGAGGTAACACCCAGGTGCTGACTAAGGACCAAAAACTGAAACCTGCAGCAGGTCCTGCTATACAAAAGAGAATATTTGTCTTTCTGCTGAGCAACAGCCCCAAAAAACAGCAACCTCTCCCAAAGGTCCATAGCCTGACTCCAATTATTTTGCGTTGCTTTAGATGAATCCTATCATTGTAAAGAAAGTGTTCCTAGGCTATTGCAGAGGTAATCTTTACCTTCAGATGCTTTAAATCAGGGGTGTCAAGCTTGCGGCTTGCGGGCCAGGTCCAACCTGAAGAGCTGTGTTGTGTGACCTATGAATCTTTGCACAGAAGCTGGGAATTCAGGGGTGGTCTCTCCCACCAAAATATGGGGCATAGAGCACTGCTGTGGATGTGTGATGGTGGAGGGGTCAAGCGATAGCTGTGTTAATCCCCCTTAATGTCCAGATCCTGATCCAGCTTGCAAGGAGCCCTGCAGTTCACATTTGGCCCAGGGGACAGGGCAAGTTTGACACCCTTGGTCTGAATAAAGTTTCTCTCACTCTACTAATGGCTCTATCATTCTTCTTCCTGCTTTTTCTCTTCTCTCAGCATGTTTTGCAACTGAAGAAACAATCCTCTAAAAAGTGGTTCTCAACCTTTTTTGTATCAGGACTCACTAGTAAACATTGATGGCCAGTCTCGACCTAGTGCCCCTCACTCCCAACCCACTGCATCCCAATGCCAGGCCCCAGCCCCCCAGTGTGTGGAGTTGGGGGGAGGTATGGAGGCCCCCATGCAGGCCCTCGCAGGCTGGAACTCTTCCAGCCTGCAAAGGAAGAGCCACGGTTTCCCATGTTTTTCTCCTTTAAAGGAGAATCCGTTTTTAAAGTTTGTTGATCCATTTTTTAAGTTAGTTTGCAACTCTTTCATATATTCTTATGGCCAACTTTTGAGTTGCGACCTACAGGTTGAGAAACACTGCTCTAAAAGAGCTATCAGTTTCAATCATTTTGAACAACATCAACAGGAAGCAATTTGGCAATTTAGGAAAATACTTTAATTTCTTTCATTGTCTCAATTCTTTAAGCCTCCTTTCAGAGTTTGCAAGACTGACACTAAACCCAATGAGAAGCATAGAAACAGACTGTTACTGAAAGTCAGCTTTCACTAACAGCAACAGTCACTAAATGAATCTACATGTTTACAGAGATCAGACACTTACACCAAGATTAGCAACTGTAAAGGCACAATGGCAGGCACCATTGTAATAATTATTTATAACAAGGAGTAAAAAAGACAACCTGCTGGCTCAATGTCTTCACGGCATAAGTCTTCCGACTAAATGAATATCACCAATTTTAAGACTCATTTTAGACTTGCTTTCAGTACGCATTTCTGTCATTGACTGTTCTGTCAGTACTACCCATGAGTTTCATTTGTGCAGCAGTGAGACCTTCAGCTGTTCTTCTCACTTGCACTGGCACAAGTTAGGAGTTAATATAATTTAAATTAGTCATGCTGCATTAATATAAAACCAGTGTAAAGATATCAAATTGGCCCATCGTTCGAAGGTCAACCATGAAGACTACATGGACTCACTGACCTACTGAGATGGTTTAAACAGAGAGAGTTTACTGCATGTGTACTAACCAGGCTCACTCTTACATTTTGTCTTGTGTCTACTGCAAAGGCTTGACCTTTTTTTGGATATTGTAACTAAAAATTCTTTTTCAATTCTTTTAACAGCCTTTGTCAATAGCTTTCAGACTTCAGTTAAAATGAAATTGTTAGTTCTGGGTTTTTGAGGAATTTTTTTAAATGTTTGTTTTTAAAGGAAAACGTAGTTTTCCAAGTAGCTCTGTTACAGGGTTGTGTAGTCCTTTTAAAAGCAGGTGTCACTAGCTCAAGGACAGCGAAAAGACATAGCTGAGCTGATGGTCAGGACACCAGCAGCAACTGGCACTTACAGTAAGAGGAGTATCCTGGCAGAGGAAGGGGTACGGGAAAACTGTCCAGAGGATAATAAAATCAAGTACGAAAACCCTGAGGCTTGGAAAATGAGATTTATGAGCAAACGCTGGAAGAACTAGGATTATTTAGTCTGGAGAAGAGAATACAGAGGAAGAATTTGACAACAGTCTTTAAATACCTGAAGGTAGTTATAAAGATGAGAGAGAGAGACTATTCTTTGTAGTCATAAGGTCCTTTCCAGCCTCATGAGGTCCCTTCCAGCCCTATTTATGATTCCTATTGGGTCAAAGAAGAGAGAGTGTGAGTGCTTAAGGAGTGGACTAGGAGTGGTCTAGAGTGGGAATCAATGATGTATATGAACTGCTTTGCTTTCCAGACTGTCATTGGACTAGAACCCAGAGCTGTAGAAGAATCCAAGTGCATCTCCTGGAAGTAATATGGAAAGTCCCCTTCAACTCATCAATGTCTCCAGAAGAAGAGTGAGCTGATAGTGCTGTGGAGGTAGGGGGATTAAAAGCTCCAAGGATAGGATTACTATACCCCAGAGAAGCTGTAGGAACCAGGATGCCCAAGGCAAGAGGCAAAGAATTGGTTTAGCTTGAGAAAGTCAAACATGAGCTAAAGTTGCTAACTCCTGGTTTTCTTCCTTTAACCACCAGTCCTGGGGATAATTATTCACAAGAGTTAAAATTTGATTAAATAATTTCTAGTCCTTGAAAAATTGTTAAAGATAACTAATGTGAATCTCAAAGGCTGAAAAACAGAAAGCAAATTATCTATCTATCTATCTATAGATATATAGAAATATGTGTGTGTGTATCAGTGAAATGACTGATCAAAGGGAAACAGGCAGACCTGTAACCAGAAGCCACTTGCAGATGTTCATATTACTATAGGTAGATTGCATTTCAGCTGCAATGTATGTTAGATATTCAGGTCCCAGAAGCAGAAGATTCTGTAATATTTTAAAAGTCATTTAGATGTTACGGGTTGGGAGGAGACATAACCCTCCAGGCAATAAACAGAAATTATACTAACTGGGTATTTAAGCCTAGATGAAACCAGGTCATATGTAAATTGTACGTGGGATACCCAAGCCTTCTGATGCTCTTGTATAGTCAAGTATTTCGTAAGTGTGCTAGTGCAACCACCTAGTTCTTATCATGGTAAGTTTCTCCACATTCACAAGAAATGTTAAAACAACTAGTGTAGGAGCCTGCTTTGCATACAAGCTGTTCTCTGAGCTATCTGTTTGTCTGACCTTGTCGTCACTATGATCTTCCATTTAAGTTCAGTTTCTCATTCGAAAACTGACTTGAAAACTAGAACCTTCATTTTGAAAAGAAACCTCATGTTTTCTTTCGCCTGTTTATAAAACAACTACACATTTAGGGATGTGAAAAAGCTTCCACAGTTAAACCACATACCAATTAACATTGATTCTTCATATGAGAAGTGTATAATTTGAGGGCATGGGGCAGAAAAAGGGAGACGCTATGGAAATCACTCCTTAGCCATCACAGATGGCTCAGCCATAAATCTCTAGAGAACAGCTTCTCACTGTTGCCTTCATACTGGAATGTTGCATTGATGTCAGGTTTGTCTACAAATTCTACGACACATTCCTGGATGCTGCAAGGAGACCACTCCAACTCCAGTACTGTAATATTGTTCGGTGCTGACGATACAAGAATATTGCTTGGAACAAACAGGGTCATTTGAGGACCACGGGCTGGCCAGTAGCGACCGAGGTTAAAGCCATTGATCCAGATTTGTCCCTGGAAGAAGAAAAAAAAGCCAACAAAACAAAACCTTTACTTATTTAATAATCATTATTTTTATTTCACTTTATAGTGTATGTAATCCCTAATACCACATCTTTACAGCTTCCATGGGGTTAGAGAAAGATCTCTGTGTTTGATAGTGGTGATAGCAGGTGTCCCCCAGAAGGCTGCACTGCTTTGGGTCTGGGTTCGGCACAGTGAGAGTGGGTGGGCAGGCCTTGCTTCTCAGCAGTGCTCTCAGGAGCCCCGAAGAAACCACACAGACACGTGCTGAGAGCCTGAGCAGAACAAAGTTTCTTTAGAAGTGTCTGACGTATGAGACATAATTTTAACCAGGCTTTAAACCCTGATTAACCCAGGGATTAGAACAAACAGGCAAAGCAATCCAATGCTGTGATGAATTAAAAATATTAACATATAAAAATGACATCCTCCAATAAAGTAACAATACTTTGGTTAAAAAAAAAAACAAACAACAGAAGGATCCTTAGTGTGAAAAAATAAATTTTCAATTGCCATAAAAACACTACCCAGACAAAGTTCAACTTGTGCCTCTCAGCAGCTAATACCTCTTGCAAAGTGAATCTTGCCAGGGGTGTTTTGTTTTATTTTGTTTTTTTAATAATAAATATCACAGCTTCATCCTGGGCTTCATCCCCACTTGACACTGTTTTCTTTAGGGTTCTGTGAAGTTAAACCTTTTAGCTTTTCCTGCAACTCTATATTTTTCCCCTAAAATGGAACTGCAAGATATCTGTATCTTCCCACTGTTTGCCCTGAGTTTTGGTTTATATTTCAGATTAAAGCAAACCTAAATATAAACTATATTTGCTTAAAGGGTCACTAGTAAAGAGCTTGTCAAAAGAAGCCATCATTCTAATTTTATGGTGTGATAGCCTACCAATCTAGTCCAATCTAGGAAGAGATTGGACTAGATTACCAAGCAGGTATCCTTCCTATTTTATGTATTCATAGGCAAAAAAAGTTCATCTACACCTTGTTTAGACATTTGAAATATAAATGTTTTCTTCTCCTCAAAGTTTCTACTGTAACAGGAGAACGTGACAAATGACATCTCCATAAAAGAAAGCTGAAGAATTATAAAAGAGAAGGGACACTTATGTCAGAACATTAAGAAAAAAAAGAGAAAAAGAAATAAAGAGTTTAATTATTAAAGCCAATCTAATTCCAATGACTACTAAAACTTTGGAGGAAAACCTAAATATCCTTTTAAGATTTAACAGACGTAGCCAGTCTCTAGCATGAGATTTCTCACAGCATCTCAGGCACCCAAAAAGTCCTCTGCCAAAAAAGTGACAAAATGACACTGTAGATATTTCTAAGAAAAAAAGAATGTGTTTAAAATGGAAATTAATTTGGTATATCACAAAGTAGTCACATATAAAGGCCTTAAAACTTACCTCAAACCTCAAAATAAATAGAAACGTCTTTCAGGTCACTTTTAAGATTACTCAAGCGTCAGTACAAACTTGCAAATGGGCCCATATTTAGTCAAAACTGAACCTTGGTTCATAAGACTTCAGACAAAACAAAAGGCTGACTGTCACCTGGTTTAGAGATTTAACATTTCAGAGATTCACACCTTAAGAATATCCTTCCTACATTAATCAGCACCAGAAAACTACAGAATGGATGGACAAGAAATTAAGAAGAACAACTGAATTCAGACATGTGCATCTCCTTCCCCTGATTCCATATAACGCTTAAAGCTATGAAAGATGCTACAAAATGCTTTCCATAAAGATAAATTGATGAGGCACTTGGAAGCCAGGATGCTAAGAGCACTGGTTGTGGCTTTCAAAATTACCTGCGGTAGTTGTCATGGATATTTTAAAAAACCCCTACTACCTCACACAGGGTACGGAAGTGTAGCAAAATAGCTCAAATACATTTAGCATCAGAATTAAAAAGCAGCAATATTGCAATTATATGATTCTATACACTCTTTTAAACCTTTATAAACTGACTGTTGTTGAATCTGTATATTTTTCACAAAGACGTCACGTTTACAAGTGCAGGTGTTCGCACTCAACTTTCCATTTGCTCTGTAATACAAGATTCTATCTTATTCAGTTTTGCCAAGGTTTTAAACCCCCAGTCTGAAAACTTTCTTTTTTTATCAAATTAATCTCACTCAGTGGTCTGTGCTTGCAGTATTAGGAAAAGGAAAAATCTAGCAATTTACTCAGCCTCATAACTTTGCTTCTATGGTAGCTTAGGGGTAAAGAGCATTATAATTACTTTAATTTCGTATGCAGGAGAATAATCAGTATATACCCAAAATGCAACACCCTCTTCTGTAACAATATGTGGGCAAATTTCACTGGGTGAAATGTTAAGCTTAGTCAAAGATCCAGAGAAGCTACAATCACCTCCAACCTTGTTCCCAGTAGTTTTTTACCTTTGGGTTCATTTTCCAGGAAAGCATTTAAGTTCTCAGCTTGTTTTTATTAAGGTTATGAAAATTTCACTATGGAGGATGCTTATGGAAAGAGATACACTTATCTGCCCTAAAATTTGACCAAACGAAAAAAAAAATGAAGGACAGAAATAGAGAAGCAGAAATGAAGAACTGCCTTCAGCAGGCTAGGAACTGAACCAGCTGTGTTGTAAGTAGCCTGAAAACTGAAAACTTTTTAAACCAACGCACAATCTAATCATGCCAGTGTTCACCCAGTGGCAGGATTAGCAACATCTGCATTCCAGTACAACTTTATTATGGGTATAAAAGATTATTTTAAAATAATTTACGACAACTGTATTACAAGTTAGATCATGCCTGTTACCACTGGATCCTTCGTTGCATCTCATTCTTTGTCTTGTACGCTCTTTGAAAGGAGGACCGTGTGCCAGAATTGGGTGTTTTGTTAATAAACACTTTAACACCAACTGCAATGGGAGTTTGGTGCCCAAAGCCTTTACAAATCTAAGGCTTAAATCTGAACACAAGAACTAACTTGTTTTCTCAGAACCTCAGTGTTAACAGCTTATGTAATACACTACCATCAATGAATCCTGCAACCCACAGCAGAACCTGAGCACCTATAGTGGAACTAAGGTGGAATCCAGGCACCCAAGTCTGAGAGTGTTGAGCTTTGGTACCTTAAGTTTTTACCCTTTCCCATCTCTTTAATAACTGTGAATTTATTGAATGCACTGTTTTTGGTTGGCAACTTAAGTCCGTTTAATATTCACTTCCCTCATCTTGGCTGGTTATTCCCAGACTTAGTTCAGATGAATGATGCATTCAGTTAGGATCCCAATACCTCTGACAACTATTTGGTATGCAATAACATTTCCCTTTAAAACCACCATATTATTGTAATCAAGTCTCCTGCAAACCCAACTGACCTTTATTAGCAAAGCAAGTAACCTCAGATTCAGATTTTTAGGGGGAACTTATTTAGTAAAAGAAATTACCTTGGTCCAACCAGGAAATCTAATATAGGTGTCCTGGGGTAAGTCTGGAATCCCGCTGGGAATAGATAATGTACCAGTGTAAAAAGCAGGTAGTTCATAGCTTGGTGGAGTATTTCCAGGTGTTTTCAATTCATCATCATCGCATTTTAGGCCATGTCCCACTGCTCTGTCTATGTCTAGAGGGTAGATTTCCCAGTCAACAAGTACGTCTTGATCAAGCGTTAAGTTTGAAACCAGACCCTGAAAAGATATTCATAGGAGTAAATATAGCACTCCCTTACAATTACTCATCTAAAACTGCTGGGAATGCAAAACATCTAGGGAAAAAAAAACGACGGCCAAAGCTCCATAATCCTGAGTATCACCCACCCCACACAGTCAAAAATTATATAGTCTCTTGTTCCATGCCCCCCTCCTCCACCCTGTGCCCGTAGCCCCCCCAGGTTATGAGTCTGGACTACTGAAGGATGGGGTTTTTTTAAATGAGGGTTTGTTTGCCATCCTGATTTTGAGCTTTTATGATGCACTTGGACCCTGTTTTCAGGCATTTGTCCATAACTATGGGGGGCTAGAAACTGCAGGCTAAAACATGGCAGAAATTTTCACAATCATGTGATTCCAGAAAGCAAGGAAAGGGTTTTAAGCACTAAATATTACAACACTCGTGATTCCAGAGAATTTGGAAACACTGAGTCAGAACCCAAGCCGTTAGCCTACACAGAGGTGGGGAGCACAGTCTTTACTTCCCATAAACTTGCTGCAGCTAGTACACAGTATCGCGAAACCAGACTTGCAAGGCATGTGCCATGTAGCCTTGATTCAGCTAAGTATTTAAGCACATAGTTAACTTTAGGCACAAGGAATCTCATTTTACTTCAATGGGACTATCAGTGTGTTCCAATTCAATACACAATATGAGTCTAACATAAGATATAAATGTAAACCAATAGTTACAGGTATAATCCCCAAAACAGCCACTATTATTCCAATGTAAGACTGTTTTTTTTTTTTTTAACTTAAATCCCATCCATAAGCTAAAACAAAAGCAAACAAAATCTCATCCTGATGTTATTAGCATAAGTGTCCATATGCCAGAATATCCTGGTAAAAGTTTTCAGTTGCTTGCAGCTGTTAACAAAAACAAACAACTCCCCCAATCCCCCAAAACAGAAATGTGCTTTAGTGGAAGAAGCAGTGCATTACTTTGACCCAGCTCTGCAGAATCTGCACAGTTTGGGTGTTTCAGCTGGGCTCTGTGGCACTTTTATCTAAAACTGAGTCAATCAGCTCTTAAATAAAAGTGCCAAAAAAGCCCCACTAAAGCACCTGAACTATACAGATGCTGGGCGAGCCAGGTCCAATTAACACGCTGCCTCTTCTGGACATGTGCTGGGCTCAGTGCAGGCACATCAAGTTTAAATAAAGTGTCATTTTTGTTATTATTATTATTGTTTTTAATGTCTGCAAGCAGCCTTCTTGTCTAGATAAGATCTTACTCTAACCAAAACAGTGGTTCTCAAGCTTTTTAGACTCCAAGTACCCCCTGTCAGGCTCAAGGCACCCCTAAAAAATACCAGCTCTTAGTTTTCACTTGTTCTTTGATTACAGAAAAAAATACTAGAGGTTGTCTTCTGTAGCAAAGAACTCAGAAAGACCACAACAGGTCTCCATGTTTTTCACACTATAGATTCCTGTTTGAACTCTCTGAGTTTATCTTGTAAATCAGGTTTGGACATCTAGCAATGCTCCAACACCCTTGCTGAGTGAGAATCACTGAATCAGAAAGCAATGTAGTATAAATTTGACTAAAATTTCCTAGACTTGATTCCCTGTGGTCAGAGTTACGCACCTAATGAAGACTAGGCTGATTTGCAGATGGTACTAGAAATCTTAAAAGTCAAATGAGCATTTTTAAATTATGCCTTTTATCAGCAACTTTCTAACAGGCATTAAAATAGAGAAGTTTTCCAGGTAAAGTACAGGGCAAGATGCAAAAAAGTATGCAACCACAGTGACTTCTGCTTCCTTCCTTTGTTCCTCCCAACAAGACTTAGATCAGCAAATGCAAAACATCAGAGGTGCTATAAGATACTTCCCCAAAACCTATCCATTTAATCAGTTTGATACATTGTTTAATCTGAAATGAAAAGAACACCAAAGCTCCCTTATTTGCTTAAAACGCAAACTTTTTTGTAAAGCATGTGGAGCACAGCCCATTTAAAGCCTAACCTTGAGGACAAGATATTTAAAACAAAACTCAGGGGGGCCTTCTGCAAAAAGTCAGAAGGCAAATTTTCATAGACATCCAAGCAATTTTATCCTCTCTCTTTACTCAAGGATCTTGGTTTTTTTGCTATCCTTGCAGCATGTGTGCATTTATTCTCGTATTGTGCATCTCTACTGAACCTGCTTTTGCTCAGGGTATTTAAAAGGTTGTATCACTCCTAATATCAGTCTCAGCTCCATGGCAGCTCTGGGGGGTACAGCTAGTACCTCCATAATTGTGGTTCTAAACTTCTATTTTAATGTTAGTTCAGTTCCCTGTATACACATTTCCACATCAGCCCAACTGTTACCCCTGTTGCCAGTCTGTGCAGAGGCAAAAGACACCCCAGGTAGGTGGCCCATTCTCCTCTTTCTTCATCCAGAGAAAGGCTAAGGTGCACTGGCAGGGAAGCATGGGCAGAGCTGGCCCATGTTGTACCTGTTTAGTGGGTAGAGGAAAGACTTCAGTCTCCAGGACTCATAGTGGACTCATAGCAGGTGCTAAAAATTTTAATTTCAGGTCACCTCCCACACATGCAGAGATTTCATTTTGACTGGTATTTAAAGGTGTGGTAGATCCTGTTAATACGGCAGAAGGCAGGGCAGATTTGCACCTTCTAGACTACCTAAATCAGAAATGCATACACTTCCATAAGCAGCAGCCTACTTCATGAGATGCTGTGCTGCTTATAAAAGCTTATGCATCTCCATTCATCTATAAAGTTAAAATCTACCCTGCCTTCTGCCTGACTTGAAACTATCATGGCTAACTACCTCTCTATGTTCAAATGATCTTCTAAAACCCATGATGGAGCTAGTCAAATTGTACTTTAACAGGTACAAGATCTTGTTAAGATGCAAGAGCCGGTGGCCTGGGAAGCTTAGTCTGTGTTGAAATAAATTTCATTTGTCTTGTCCTCTCCCAAGTAGCTACTGCCAGCTGAGTCAGACTAAACTGTGGTTCTGTAGTATGGATAACACCATGATGGCTGCTGGTTGTCTTCTTGGAACCCCTATAATCTGTGTATAAACCCAGACCTCCCAAGATAGGAGAAAGTATGAATGACCCTAAAACCAATCCACCTACATTCTGGGCATCCAATAGACATTCTGGCCATTTTGGGCCACAGGTTCCTTTTATGGGGGAACTGTTCATTACCTACTGCTTCGTTACTATCTGTATTTCAGTAGCATCATAGAGAATCAGCCTGAAATCAGAGTCCTATGGCTGTTAGCACTGCAAAAACATAACACAAGTGTAGCCCACTCAGTTTCTGTCTACCTTTAAAGGAAGCTGATAAGTACACAGAGGTCGCATCCAGACAAGCGTGCACGTGCCTCTTGCCCCATCTCAAACCCCTTTGAGGTGGGGCAAGAGACACGTGCAGAAATGAAAAAATGTTCGCAGTGCTGCAAATTGGATATTCAGGGGTCTAAAAAAAAACGTAGTTAAAAAAAGTGGGGCAAGCAGCCAGGGGCAACTGGGGGCTGGATCCTCCATGGACGTTCTGTGGTAGGCCCCTCGCCCTGGTGCAGAACCAGGGCTGCAGTGCCGTAAGTAAGGGGTTGGGGGGGCTGCAGAAGGGGGATGGGGACTATGGGGGGGACCCCTGCCGGCCCC